ATAAAAATAACCTCACGCTGAATGGAATATGCCAATAAAATGGGTTTTTAGCAAGACAACGGTCCGAAACACACTGCAAAAGTAGTCAAGCAATTGTTTCAAGATAACTACCTATCGGTGATGGATTGGCCACCTCAATCTCCGGATCTCAACCCTATGGAGAATCTGTGAGAGATTGTCAACCGCAGAATTGATTATGAAGGTGTTCGTAATAAGGATCAACTGTTTGAACAAATCCAAAAGGCCTGGGCAGCAATTCCACAAAGTTTCATTGATCACCTGATTGAATCTATGTCTCCAAGATGCAAGGCTGTGATCGACAATAAAGGATTCCCCACGAAATATTGTTAGCGAAATACAGCTTAGTCAACATTTTGTGGAGTTGCACTTGTTTTGTCCAGAAGGAAATCAACTTTTTTTAATACTTTTGATTAATTTATTAATTTTCGTGTACAAATAATAAACTTTGTGATGAATAAAACTTGAAGAACGTTGTCTCTAAACAGTTACATAGTTATTTCTCTAAATTGAAAAAATGCAGCACTTTTAGATAAATAAACTAAATTAGCATTATTTTAGTTGCACTTGTTTTGTCCGATACTGTGTGTATATATATATATATATATATATATATATATATATATATATATATATATATATATATATATATATATATATATATATATACAGTGCTCGAATTAACGCAAAAAAATCTAATTGCGAAAAAAAAAAATTTCACGCTAATCCAACCCCCCAACCCCCTCCTTAAACCTTGCGCTTCTTTGCAGTAATGGGGGGGGGGGGAGGAAGTTGCGTTAGTATATAATTGTATCTTTTGTACGTAATTATTCAACTTTTAATATATTATCTCTCATATTTAAATATAAGCTTATACTTTTCTTGTTCAACAGAGTTTTAAATAGTGTAAGTTACTTTTATTATTTACTACTTAAGTTATAACTTGAAGTTTAAGTTGCATTTGTAATAAGCAATAACGTTATTAATACTATTAAGATATTTCTTTATATAAAGTATATATTTTACTTAAAATGATACTTAAAAAAGTAAAAGTAAAAAAATAAGAGAAAAAGCAATATCTAAACCACTTTAATTAGTCAAAGAAAACTATTTAATACGTTCGTGCTGACGTTAAAACACAAGGTATTTAATTGTTAAAAGCTATAAAACAACATTAAAACAAAAAGAATATAAAGAGCTTGGGTTAATGTTAAACTTATTTGTGACGATATTTTGTGTTGATTTATACAATTTATAAAATAAAACGCGTTTAAAATAAAAGGAAGCAAATAAATAAAATTAATCTATAAACTAAAACAAAACTCATATTTGCGCCTATAGACCTATACGAGTTTATAATATATAGACCAAATGAGTAAGATCAAAGCATAAAAATATTAGATACCATGTCTTTTATAAATTATCGTTTCCTGATCAAGCGTACGAAAAAAAATTTAAGTATAATTAAGTTTTTCATTCAAATGCGGTAGTGGTGTAGTGGTAGAGCGCTCGCTTCATAAACGAGTGGTTCCGAGTTCGATCCCCACCACGTTCCTGGTAGTACCGCGCTCAACTCGTTTCTCCGCGCAGCGGCCTTGTTCGTCAAGGTTCGTGTTTCGGAGTTATAGAGTTGAGAGAGGGTTATAGCCACGAATAAGTTGCCTCCTCGTCTGTAGTGGCCTTCTCGGCCTTGAGGAGGTAAATTAAAATAAAAAAAAAAAAAAAAATAGTTTTTAAACTGATGTTTTTATTCAATTTTTTTTTATTCTAATTGTTTTCCAAAAAAAAGTGAAACAAAAAATTTTGTTTAATAAATCGAATTATATTAAGTATAAGAATATGTTTAAATTATTTTTTTAGAAAAAAATTTTTTTAAACTGAAATAAAATAATTTATTAAATTAAAATTAAATTTTTTATAATTTTTATTTTAACTTTCAATTTGCAATCACTGCTTTGATGTTTGCAATAGAATGTTTCTACTTTTAAAACTATTTTCAAGAAAAAATATATAATTCGAAACATTAAAAAAATTTACGATTTAAGAAAAAAAACTTTCTTTTTTCTCCCTTGTTTCATCAAACTTTTTTTAAATTTTTAAATTTTTTTTAAATTTCAAATTTCAATCACAAAATTATTTGAATAAGTGAATTTTAAGGCTAAAGTTCTCTTGTTAAATTGATTTCTTTTTAAATTCCTGAAAACAATTGCGTATTTGTAAAAAATGTTTAGTCTAGATGTCGCTATAAATAAAATGAAAATATAAAAAAATGGTGTCACTTTTTTCATATTCTATTTGACAATTTTTGTTAAAATAATTATTAGTTAAAAGCTTATATTATGTGTTAAGATCTAAATTGAAACATGTCTATGGCTAACTTTTGCGAGTATATTAAATTAATTAATATAATTGTTAAATTAATACTTGAGTAACTGTAAGTTACTATCTTAACTTAACTGGTTGTTTTGATTTAGGTTATAAATTAATTTACTGTGATATACTCTATCCATTCAGTAAAGTTAGCTAAATATAATTTCAATAGTTTCAAGGTCATTAAAAGCGAAAAACGTGAAAGCAAAAAAGTTGCTGGTTTCTTTTAGCACAATTTTACTAATAGAAATTTTATTTAATAAAAACGAATTTATATATATTTTATTATACTTAAAGTAGTAAAAATAACTGTATAAAATTATTTATAAAATAATAATTTAAATCATTATTATTAAGTTAATTTGGAGCAACGTTTCTTTTAAAAAAAGATAAAAATGCTGTTTTGTTAAAAAAATATGATGAAGAAAAAATTACTTTTAACTTTTGTCTTTTTAATTTGCTTCTATGCAGAGATTTAAAGTAAAAAGTGCTTTACATTGAATAAAAATCACCGCGCGAAAGAGCAAATGATTATGCTTCTATTCAAAAGCAAATGATCATGCTTCTATTCAAAAGACAAACTTTGCGTGATGTGTACTTTACTATGAAAACATTACTTTTAAGAATTGCCAAAAAAAAAAAGCTAAATTAGAAAAATAGTAAATAAACAACTAAAAAAGTAAACCAATCGCAAAAATATATGTTTTAAGTAAAAACTAATCGCGAATGTGTAAAAAGCAATCGAGATCGCAATACGCTTATATTAAGCCCTGATAATTGTTTATACAATATTACATTACGCACTACAGTAACTGTAGTGCGTAATGTAATATTGTATAAACATTTTTTATATATCAAAGTGTACAAGGTGTGTAATATAATTTTTAAATGATGTAATATAACTAACCATGTTTTATGTTAATGCAATTATAGTAATATAAATTTAAAGAATTAAACTTGGGCAAATAGTGTTTTTGATTGTTTTGCCATTCAATCATCAATTGTGAAACAAATAATTAATAATTGAATTTTTTAATTTTTAATTGAATTTTAAATATTTAAGACTATTCGAATTTTATTATGTTGTTTTATTTTATGTTATTATTTTATTATGTTATTATTTTATTATGTTATTATTTTATTATGTTATTATTTTATTATGTTATCATTTTATTATGTTATCATTTTATTATGTTATTATTTTATTATGTTATTATTTATGTTGCTATTGGTGTAAGTAGCACCGGTAACCATTGTTTTTTGTGATTCCTGAAGTTTGAAATTTCATGAATTTTTTTTTTGCCCAAATATTCAATTTATGATACAATACTATAATAGAAAATTTAAATATATAAATTTTTTTATTTTAGTTATTTTTTTTGGGGGTTATTTATTAAAATGGGAAAATGATTAGAATTGATTAGTGCATAGACCTGTTAAGTAGTTTTGGATAATTACAGTCTCTAAAGTATTTAAGGGGGTTATAATGTCTTTAATTACTTTATGAGTTTCTAATATTATCTATAAAAAAAATTTTTTTTCCAATTTTAACATTACTCAGTAAATTAACAGACTGTTAAAGTTATCAAGGAAAACATTAGCTGTCAGTAATCAAAAAATTTTTTTAATAAATTATTGTTTATTAAATTCTTGGTAAATTTTTGTTGATTTAAATTTGATTTTACCTTATCACAAAATTTTAAACCTGAAATGACTTTGTATTTTAAAGTTTCAATGGCTTTGTATTTTTAGCTAGACAATGGTAGTATGAATAATCGTAGTGTAAATATTGGTGGATATGATTTCATCCTAAAAATTAGGAAGAAAGTTCTTTGTCAAGAATAACTATAATTCTGTAATTTAATTATTAACTTAAAGGGTATGTAACATTTATATACGTAAATATAAACATTTTTCTAATTATCATTTAAAAATATCAACTTCCATTGAAAAGATACAGGCATATGGCCATCTTTAATTAGCAATAAAAAAAAGGTGAGAGTTAAGAAAATCAGCACTTCTCTGTGGGGTGTTGAATGAAGCACATTTATGGAACAATGTTTTAAGAATCATTCCAATTGTACATTTTCTTGCAAAACAGAATATAGCACTTCATGGCACTGAGGATCTATTGTTTTAATTAAACAATAGCAATTTTTAGGGTTGGGCAAATTTTCAGGAAGTTAGAAAATAGTCAGATCATTGTTGGCTAATTTATTTAAACCATTATACAATTATTAAGGAAATGAGTTTTATGTTTTTAAAAACATTCCCTGGTACTCCATTTTAAAAAAAAAAGTAAATTCTTTCTTGTAGTGATAAAAAGATATTTGCTCTCAGAATAATTTTTCTAATAAAAAATAATCTATGAACAAAATATGGATAATATAAAATTGCATGAAAAAATTATGAATTATGAAATATACTGTATATCATGTTTTTTTTTCAAATTTAAAGACCAAAATTAGTTAAATAATTATAAAAAGGTATTTATGAAAATTTTAAATGGTAGTAATGAAATACTTCTATAACATTATTTATGCATTATGTTCTATTAATTTATGTCTAAATTTTGTAAAAAAAAAAAAAATTTTTCATTATTTCTTTTTCAGAATTATTATCCACAATATGAAAAACAAAAGTTACTGCAGCTTAAGTTAGAGAAGTTTCTTACAATGGCACGCAGTATCAAAAATATTTCTGAAAATACAAGAAATCGATTTGAGAAAGAATCTCGTAAAGCCAACAAGGTTACACCTTATTGAGTTTTATAAATTATATAATACATATAATTTGTGCATGTTTTTTATATTTATGTATCAATATTTTTAAATATACATTTAAATTAATTTTCTTTTTTTTTTTTTTCTTTTTTTTTTTTTGTTAAATTAAAAACCTTAATTTAATTTAGCTTGTAAAAAAACACGAAGAGAATGCACACACAGATTGGTTTGAAATTCATGATATTTTTATACCTGAGGTTGCTGTGTCTACTCTAAAAGGAAAACTACCTTGTCTAACATTTAGGCTGAGATTTAGTTTATATAAAGAAATTAAAGAGATAAATGAATTAGTTTGTTTAAATGGTAAGTAAATAATAAAATTATTATATGTAAAATTTTTTTAAAAAATATTTATTTACATATAGATCACTTTCAAGTCCCAAGTTTAGGAAGGTATGTGATCTTTTAATACCGAGGACACTATTTAACATTCATCATCAGGTTGGAAGATCTTATAATTTTAGGTTGATAGTCTCTAATAGTTTCTCTTAGATCTCAGATACTCAAGTATCTTCTTTTCCTTAACCGAAGCTTTTTTATGTACTCTGTAACACACTCTCTTCTTATCTCCCAATACCCAATAATCTGGATCTTCTTTGATCTCCCTATCAGACACACTCACTATTCCTAATCTCTAAGATTTGCTTCTTTTTTAATTTTTTTAGTGAAAATAATTCCCTAAACTTGCCACAACTAGGCACATCTTTCTCTAAATGCTTTTTCTCATTCACCAACTGGTACAATTGTATCTCCAAGATAACAAAACTTATCAACACACTTTATCTTTTTTGCCTATTTGAATTTCTTTCTTGATTTCTCTCTATTTTAAATCAGCAATATTGAGCACCTTGTGTACCGCTACATCTCCTAAACCCATTATTTACAAGCTGTTCAAACAACAAAGTTTGCACCAACTTGTTTCCAATACACTTTTAGGTTTAATTGCTCATTCTTTACAAACTATAAACATTACAAAACACATTTCTGGTTTTATTTATGAAAATCCTAATCACTTTACTTCCATTTCATCCTACCAACACTGGTATCTTAGTATTAGTTCTTCTGTCTCTGCAATCAAGCATAGTTTCAGCATTGAAATGTTACCCCATACTCCACATTCAAAATGTTGATGCAGACATTTCTTCAATGATGTCCAAATATCCCACAGCTCTGATCTGTCTGTTTTTACTCCCAATAAGAGGGATCAACCATCTTTAGGAAAATGTAGCAAGTACAATCACAAAAAAATTATTGGAAGTGCGAACTACAGTTTTGCAGGTTCAAGTACTTCCCTAATTAGAAAGACATTAACAATCTAATCAGAGATCTAGGCATTACCAAGTCAAGTGCTGAGCTTCTTATATCCAGACTCAAACAGTGGAATTTATTGGGTAGAAACATGCAAGTCACAGATCAGAGAAAGTGTCACCAACCATTTTCCAACATCTTCAGTCAGAAAGATAGGCTGTGCTTTTCAAGGCTATTGTAAGTAAATATTGCTTATTTATAGACAGATTATCTCATAGCCTCAAAGTTGTGTTATTTCACCACAGAAACAATATTATGTGAGTATATAATATTTCTTACTCTTTGGGTCTAAAAGAGGACTACACCAGTGTCAAGATGTTGCTGAGTGTCCTAAATTCATTCCTTTTAGGCCTTCAAGACAGTTCCACAAAACTTCCTTGTTTTCTTTGCCTTGGGGACAGCTGTTACACTAAGACACACTATTGCATAAAAGACACAATCAACAATCAGGTTTTTTGTAGACAAGAACAATGTGAAGTAGAGTCACTGATAAGACTTTAAAAAATATTTATGGCATCCCTGCACATCAAGTTAGACATCATCATGCATTTCGTTGCTGCTATTGAGGAGTTGACACCTTTTAAGTACCTCCAAGATCTTTTTCCAAAATTGTCTGATGCTAAGTTTAGAACTAGTATCTTTGTTGGACCACAGATCAAAAAGATCACAGAATGTGTCAAGTTTGCCTAGCACTTGAACAGGATGGGGAGAGCAGCTTGAAACAGGTTTGTTCTAGTTGTTTATGGCTTTCTGGGTAATCAAACAGAAATCAAACTATGTGGAGTTTTCTTTATAATTTATAATGAGAATTTCAAATTCTAATTAAAAATGATGTCATGGGATGCAGAATGTCACTCTAAGGAGAACACAGGAGCCTACTTAGAGGAGCAAGGCAAGTGCTTTCATTAAGGTATATTGGACTTTGAACTCCGTTATCAAAGACAGCATAATAAAAACATGATGGGAAGCTACATTTAGCAGCTTTTTTGTGAAAGTGAAACTATTGTGTCTCCTCAGACAGAATAAATTAATTTATAAGTTTCTTTTTGTTCTTAATAAAAATGAGTTTCATTATACTGTTGATAAAAAAAGAAATTATAAAATAATAATTGGTGCTTATGTAGTCATTTTTCTACAGTTTTTAGACATAAGCAATTAAAATATAACACTTTGAATTCAAGTAATAAGGTTGCGTTACATAGTGTAATATAAGATTGTGTTACATAGTGTAATATAAGGTTGTGTTACATAGTGTAATATAAGGTTGTGCTACATAGTGTAATATAAGGTTGTGTTACATAGTGTAATATAAGGTTGTGTTACATAGTGTTATATATAGTTGTGTTACATAGTTTAATATAAGGTTGTGTTGCATAGTGTAATATAAGGTTGTATTACATAGTGTAATATAAGGTTGTATTAGTTAAAAAAATTAGCTTGAATTTGAAAATGAAAAATGTCATTAGCTTCTTTTTTGCTGTACACTTGGCGCAAAAACCGAGATAGAAATGAAAACATTTAAGCAATTAACTATAATGAAAAATCTTAGTGAATGTAGAAAGCACTCATGACATGCTCGTCATGGCATGACACTCATGACATGCACCAGTCCTCTTTTTTTGTTCACTGTGAAAGAAAATTTTTGATCACAAAGAATCTGTTGGATATGCAAGCTGCATTAAAGATGGCTGCAAAAGCTAAAAAGAAGGTCCAAGGAGAAATTTTAAAGTCTTTTAAGGTTATATAACATTATATAACCTTAATAACCTTAAAGGTTTATCAATAAGGTTTATCAATAAGCTTCCATGTTCTGACAATGTTTAATTGAAGATATAATAAGGTTTTATAATCAAAGTATAGTTTTTACTAACAAATCTCTGAAAATTATTAAAGTATTATGTTGCACAACCTATTAATGACTCAATATCTGATTTTGTCAAAGTCAATTCTTAGATCTGTTCAGTGACATTTGATTTATTGGTATGTTTTCTTTTTTAAACTAAATTATTTGGGGTTACATTTTTATGTTGATTCCATTTCATTTAATTGTGTACAAGGTTCATCAGATGTAAAGCATTTTGCTTATGTTCTCTTGATTTTTTTTTCGCCTTTCTTGACTTGCCTGTGTCAAAAACGTTTCAAAAATACCATTTCTAATTATTTACTTGAATTCAGAACTTTCTGAAACTTAACATGTGGATCGCACTGGTACTAAACTTTTATTAATCATTTGTTTGATGTTTACATTGCGCACACAATTAGCAGAAAAAGGTCTATCCAGTCAAAAAAAAGAGGTTGTCCAAATCAGTGTGTATGTTTGTTTTTCCATCTTTTATTGGTTGTTAAAAATTAAAAGTTCGTTAAAAAAAAGACAAACATTAATTTTCATAAAATGAAAAAGATACTGTTGTGAAATGAGCAGCAGTGAAGCATTGGCCAAAGGTGTTGTATTGGAATTTGTTAAGAAAATTGTGTGTTTTTGGTAACGAGTTTTATTAGACTTAGGCTCACAGCATAATCAATTACAACAGTACTTTCTAGTGAAACACTGTTAAATACACACCGGCTAGGTAAAGTATAGGCAGATTGCAAAATTTAAGTCAAAAAAAATGTATTTTCTGGTTGTGCATTTCTGACAAAATTTCTGATAAAAATTTAAACTTTAATTATATTTAGTGGTCTTGCAGTTAATCTTACTTTAATCTATACTTCAAGCATTGAATCAAGCAATGACAAGCACTTTTTATTATTATGATCCATACTTAATTTGCCTCGGCCTGGCTCCATTATCCAAAACAGTGATTCATTCTTGAACAAAATTTATGAACAAAATTTGAACTTTATATTCTTCAGAATTCATTCTTTGAAGAGAATTACTATGATTATGTAGATTATGTTATTATAAAATTAAAAAAATAACTCGTTTAATTTTTTGCTGTTAAATTATGTTGTTGCTTTTTTTCCCAATATTTTAGAAAATGCTTTTTTTTTATTTTTCAGGAGAGTTTTATGAAAATGTTGCTATTGCAATATTTGAAACATTGTTCACTAAGTCTGATTTACATTCATATTTTCAAAGCTTTGACCGTTTGAGATTGTCTCACGCTAAAGTGATGAGTCATCAGAATAGTTTAATTAAACTTCTTCAAGATGACAGCAATCATAATGATGTTCATCTAAATTTTGATGAAGTATATAATGCAACTAAAATGTATCAAAGAAGCAGTATTTTTGTTTTCGCACCTATTAATGATAAGAAAAATACAGACATATATGAAAAGGACTTTAAGAAACTTACTATGACTGTCTTGCCCCAATATTTTGTTCATAGCTATAAGACATCTTTGGTTATGTTTCAAAAGTCACCTTGGGCAATTATAAAAACAGGATTGAACCCTTCAAGTACTTCAACTGATCGTATAAATGTTACCTTACCACAAGGTTTGTTGGTTTTTTGAAATATTATAATTGCTTTTTAGTAGTGGCTTTTTTTTTATCATAAAGAAATATTTTACAATTTTTTTTAACGTCATTATTTTTAAAAATACAAATAATTTTTTGTTGAAGTTGATATTATTTTTCAAAACGTCTATTGACATGTATTTATTGTTTTACTAATTTCACAAGAAAACTTAGTTTATTTACAGTTGTTTTTTTTTTTGCTGTGCAAGCAAAGAACAAAGTTGATTTTTATGCACACAAAAATTAAAGATTTCTCTGCAAAATCAAGACTAATTTATGTGGAAAAAATAATAAGAATATTGAATAAAATGGAATTTCCATTAAAGAGAAAATTTTTGTGCGTAAAGAATTTTCATTTATGTAAAAAATTAAAATTTAATATTAGTTTAAAATAAACAAAAAAAAAAAAAAATTGGCAGAATTTTTGTGCAAAATTAAATAACACTGATTTAAATGCCAAAAGAAAGTTGGTTCTTAAGCAATTCATTTATTTATTTGTTTACATGTCTACTTTTTACTTATTTTGAATGTTAATTTTAAATTCACATTAAAAAATTAAGAATAATTTATAACTTGAATAAAAATCATATTAAAAGAAAAAAAAAAAAATTTCACTTTTAAATACTTAAAAAAAATTTTTTTTTTATTTGAGCATTAAACCAATTAATGAAATGTTTTAGTTAATTTTTATATTGAACATTCTATCAATACTTTTCAAATTTTTTTTTTATATATTTGTATATTACACTGGCAAGAAGGAAAAAGTTTATAAATAAAAGAGTCAAGTTGTTAATAATCTATTTATTGTTATTTTTTTATTATTATAAGAAATCTGTTTTTATAGTTTCACAATGAAACAAAGGTGTTGTCCATTTTTATGTATTATGTATTTTATGTCCATTTTATGTATTTATGCCCATTATGTATTTTTGGCAGTAAATTTAAAAGTTACATTTTATTTGATATAACAGTTTTTTTATTTATGCTTGACTTTATATTCAAATATGTGCAAATTTTTTTTTAGTATATTGTATCAATTTATTTTAATTTTGTAAAGATATTTACACAAGCACTATTTCATATATTAAAAGGTATTTAAGAAATACAATATTAGTGAAAACAAAAAAAATCTAAGTGTGAAGCATGTCTTTTTTACTGTTACTTGCTGATTCTTGAACTGCTGAAAAAGCAGTATTTAGCAAATTTAACTAGACATGAATATTTAGGCTCTCATAATGCTCTAGGAACAGAAAATTTTAAAACTCAATAAAAACAAAATGAGTGGTTCAGCAGGCATCATTTGTCTTGATCAACATGATCATATCCTGGATATCATAATCAAAATATTTTGATTATGGTATCCAGGATATGGCATCTTTTACCATCTTATGAATACTTGCTTTTTTGCAATATAATATCCACATAGTAAAATATATCTAGAGAATTTAGACATCCTCTAGTAGTCATTATGATAAAAATAGATTCTTCATACCCAGTGTGAACCCAGTCGTGAACCCAACACAAATATGTAAATAATACATATTTAAAGTAGCTCAAAAATAACTCATGATTTTAAGACAAATTATTTTGGTCTTGAACACAAAATTTATGAAAAAAATTTACAATGCAGAAACATAAAACCTGGTATTTAGAAAAAAACCTAGTATTTGAAGTATCTGTAATATTTATAAAGAATAAAAAAAATACAGTGGGCAAAAATTTTGTAAACATTTCTAACATGGTGTTATTTAAATAAACAATGGTTATTAAGCAACAATAGTAATTGTAGTTAATATTAATAAATAGTAATATTAATAATGATTATTTATAATAATATTTAATTTCTTTTAAGACAATGATTGTGTTACTTACAACAGTGTAGTGATGAGATACTCTCGCCTCACTAATCTACTTGCAGATTTAGTAGATGCATATAAAGATGGTATATCCACATATACTTCCACAAGAGATAACTTGGTTGATTCGCTACATGTTTTAGATTCAAAGATAACTAATGAAGGTTAGTATAATTTGATAAAAACCACCCTTGTTTTAAATAAGATAAATTGCAGAAATTTAAATTATTTTAGTTTCCTTTAAACATATTTGTTTTGCTTAAAAGTTTTATGATCTCAGTTTGAGTATTATGCATACATATATGCATACATTATATTATGCATAAATTATTTTCTGGATTTTTTAGGCATAACACTTATTGCATTACAGTTTCTGTTTTTGCGCTATATACTATAGGGCTTATATACTTGTAAAGCCAAATAATTCACAAGAAATGTTCATTTTAAAAGTCAATACTAAAAAATAAGCTTTTAATAAAAGTTTAAAAAATTTTTCAATTTTTTTTTACTGTTTTTATTTTGTTTATTTTATTTAGAGTTCACTTTTTATTCGTCTTTCTGTTAAACTCAGCAGCTTCATTATTTGCTTATATCTCGATAACTGAACTTAAATCAAATACAATCTTTTCTAAATTGCTCTATTAAATTTAGAATATTTTTTCCTTTTTAGAGAGCTTTGTGTGTCTGTTTTCACTCTATTTGTTAGTGAAAAAAAGCATTCAGCTTTTGCATTAGAGTCAGGTAAAATAATGAATAGTTAGAACAATAATTAAAAGTTTAACCTAGAAAATATTTTATGCCATAACTTGTGATAACCGTTATTATTATGTGGTGCTGAATATTTTATATTGTAGTTTAATAAGCTATGCCAAACATTTGAAACATTATTTACACTGGCGAAAATAGCATAGCATTTCGTAAAAGTTATTAACCTTTTTTTATTTTTTCGCCAAGGAATATTTTTTTTCATTACTTTAAAGCCAGTCTTCTGTATTTGAAGTTTTTTCACAATACATATCAGTGATAATAACACGTTATCAAAGTCACTATTATTAAGTTCATTACTAACTTGATAAGAGTAGACTTCAATTTTTTAAGGTTTGGTGGTTACAAAATCCTTAAGTACAATACCCTGGAAATAAAACCACACTTTTATATCACTTAGTTATACTTATATACTCGATACTCGACAAAATGACAATTCTTCGTTTGCTATGAAGAAAATATCAAATTTTATTTTGGTCAAATTTTAATACTCCTGGTTTAAATACTGGATAGAATGTCTGTTTACTGTATTTCCTGCTGCAACTTATTAGGTTTTTTCAATTCAACTGCACAAGTTCATGCCTTTTGTTTTTATAAAAACTTTTTTGATGTAATTTTTCCTCTGCATGTATGATTGTAAAATAGTGTTTTGCAATTGATTGCATAATTTTCCATTGCTCCTTTCTAGCATGCAATCTTTTGAAATCTGAGTTTGAGAAACATATTTTTGGTTCTGCAACTAGTAATGGATATTTGCCCAATTTGTTAAATATTTATATCAAAGAACCTTTCTTAAATATACTATTACTTGTAGTAGTAACAAAGCATATTCTTTCTACTTTGGGTTTAAGGTTGTACTCCTTAAGAAGGTCCATTTCATCATTCCCCTTAATTATACTTTACAAGGACAGCCATAAAACAGACTATCATTTTTCCTCTGTTTTGATTAATTTATGTTTTGCCACCAAAATGCACTATGAATCTCCATAGGATCCATTGATTGCTTGTTAATCATCTTCTGTTATCCTGCATATGTTGTGATTAGTAAGTATGATTTTGTGACAGTATTTATGATGTATATGTGATCTTTTTTAGCTGCTGTAGACTAGGTACATTTGAATTCAGATCAACTCCTGATTGAGTTAAAATCTGTAACTTTGTACAAAGCATTTGAAGAATTATTACTAAATCAAGCCATAATATTTGTATTACCAACAAAAATATCTGTGTGAATTTTAGAAGTGACTTTTTGTTTAAAAGTGTTTTTCCTCGCCAGAATCAAAATCAGAGTTGAGTTGGGAGTCTGGTACTAGTTTCTTTATTAATATCAACATTAGAACATCTAATTCTTAAAATTACTTTCTCACTGGAAACTTTTTATTTCTGCTGCTGTCTGTCACATGAAAATGTCAGAAACCTACCATTTCTTAAATTTATTTAAATATACAAGATAAAATTTGTTATTCAAATATTATAAGATATATGGTATTCAAATATATATAAGAAATGTAACAAAAACTTTGAAGTTAGCTGTGTTAGATTAAGAAGAGAACCTAGCTCATTTATATAAAAATGACCCTAAAAAGCTACACGCTTATATCAAAAACAATACCAACTCAAATTATGTATTCAACTCTATAGAAACAACTGATGGAACAATTTCAACAGATCTTCAAATTATTTGCAAAACTCTAAACAATTACTTCCAATCAGTATTTGTAAACGAGCCAGATGGACCTGTGCCGAAATTGGAACCCCGAACTGACAAAAAATATAATTTAGACGAGAATATTTTTTCAATCAACGATATCCGTGTTTGAATCGCAAACCTAGACAAATTTAAGTCTTTTGGTGTTGATAACATTCACCCACGTGTACTCAAACATTGCGCAGAAGCTTTTGCATTGCCCATAACGTTAATTTTCAAGAAATCTTTCTCAACCAGTACTGTACAAGACCTCTAGAGGAAATCCAACATTACGCCCCTTTTTAAGAAAGGAAGCAAACTAAAAGCATCGAATTATAGGCCAGTTTCTCTCACATCCATACCATGCAAAATATTTGAGAGCGTATTACATGAAAAAATAATGCTACTCTGTAACTCGAACGGTTTAATAAGCATATCACAACACATGTTTGTTCAAAGAAAATGTTGTTTGACTAATCTCTTTGAAACTCGCGACTTCCTCACAGAAGCTGCAAACAAAAAGTATCCAGTTGATGTGATTTACACTGATTTTGCGAAAGCATTCGATAAAGTTCCACACAATCACCTATTGAGTAAATTAAAAGCATATGGCATCAACTAGAAAACATTAATGTGGATAAATGCTTGGCTCAACAATAGACAACAACGTGTTGTCATTGGTACTCATTCAACTGCTGAAATATTCACATCAGATTGAAAAGTCACAAATGGTGTCTCTCAAGGAAGCGTCCTCGGGCTACTCCTTTTCGTACTATTTATAAACGATCTACCGAACAACATTACAAGCCAGTTTAAGTTCTACGCAGATGATTGTAAAATTATGAACATCATAAAATCAAAAGAAGATATGCTAGCTTTACAATCAGATATTGATCATGCCATAAACTGGTCTCACAAATGGTTGATGTTCTTTAGTGTGGAAAAATGCAAAACAATGCAAGTTGGTCAAGGTAACAGAAAATCTAATCAAGTCTACTCAATGACAAACACAGAAGGCATTTATCAAAACCTGGAAGAAACTGAAACTGAACGAGATCTAGGTGTTCTGACATCAAATGATCTCAAAGTCCGTGCCCAAATGGAGTCTGCAGTCTCAGTTACCAATTACAAATTGGGTCTTCTCAAAGAAGCATTTCGAAGCTGAAGCATTTGTCTCTGGCGAATGCTTTACATCACATATGTGCGCCCACACTTGGAATTCGCTATTCAAGCATGGTCTCCTCACCTAAAATAAGATATTAATATCCTTTAAAGAGTTCAGCGCAGAGCAACAAAAGATTCCTCTATCAAACATCTCTCATGAGCAACCTTTAAATATATTCAGATTGACAACACTGGAAAAGAAAAGAGCCAGAGGAGATCTTATTGAACAGTTTAAAATTGTGACTAAAATTGGTCACACAGTCAACTTATTCAAAAGTTTCCTATCATGATGGACAACTTGACTCATCGACAATTTGCCCTACACATTTGATAGTATAGAGATGCCTGGTGTTGCAACTCTTCGTCAATATACTTTATAAATAATGATTGACTAATTTTCAGTATTATTAAATTTTGTGAAAAAAATTAAATTATTCTTGATTGTAAATTTATTGATTCTAAATAAAATCATATAATATATAAAAATCATATAATAAGTTCATATAATATGGAAACAAATAAATATTTTTACTTTTGTTATACACTTTTTATTTAAAATTTTTTTAAGTGTTATGGTAACTATTTAATTCACTGTCGTGGTAACTATTGTAGTTACAAAGTCTTGCAACTTGATTTTTTTAATTTATAAGAAATTCTATACTTCAAAAAAAAAAAAAGTAAGAAAGTTTCTTAAGAAAAAAACTTTTTTCCTCTTTTTTTTTTCTTTCCTTCAGAAATTCAGAATCTTCTTTAATTGAATCCTTAATTTCAAATAGGACACAAGTTCATTAATTAAAACTTTTCAGGATCAACAAAAATATGTTTCTTATAACAAATAAAGATGCTTATGAAACTAAATATTAGAATTAAATATATAGAAACTAAATATTGTAATTAAATATATATATAAATTTTGTGATTATTATTTGTTATAAAAAATACGTATATAATATATATATATATAAATAGTTAAAACTTCTGGACAAATGCCTTTTTTAAAATGAATAAAAATAAAAATCCAAAGATTATCAAAAAGTTTTTACTTGTCATTTATGATGACTGAAACAATGTTTCACGTGTTGTCACCTTTTTTGTCCTCGGTTATTCCTCTGTCTTAGACATCCATAGATAGCACCAGTTCCTTATAATGGTTCAGCCAACAATTTTTTGCGTAGTTTATCTTAACTTTTATGTCAATAATATCTTCTTATTTCAAAGTTTTAGTTAGCCTTGGCTTTAAGATTTTCTTACTCGATTGGTATGTAAATCCTGTCTTTTTTCAAATAAATCTCTTCACTGTCCAAAACATTATCATTTGGCAGGAATGAGTGACCTCTTTTGAGTATGTAATATTGCATCTCTTTTATGTTGATACTTAGCTCATCTACCAGCGATAAAAGGATTTGGACCATGGCATGATTTTGATTCTAGCTGGCACAACCAACTGAAAAAAAGTGCAGTTTTTTGGCATTGTTGCCAATACATTTTTTAATATATACCAGCACAAAAATGCATACTTTATCAGGTCCTTTGTTAGCAACTCATTAACAGTAAGAAGAAAACATTGATTTTCCAGTTTTAAGATTTGCAAAACTGATAGAGTCATAGTTTGCGTAGATAAAAAATCTCCTGGGATATTTGAACTTGGAGAATTTTAGACAAAATAAAATGCAATCCCACACATAATTAGATCATTTTTGCATTCTTAGTTTTGACTTTCTATATTTTTGAATAAAATTTTATTTGCTTAACTTTAGTGGACCTCAATATCTGCTTGATGATAGACCTTGTTCATTTAGTTTAAAAAATTTGAATTCACTTTCTGCTTTGAAATATTTACTACTTGACCATGTCAATTTATTTTTAAAAAACTTTAATCCACATCTAATTCATAGCTCCTTTTTTTTGGCAAAAATCTCACATTTACTCATTGCACAATCTCACATTTACTCATTGCACAATCTCACATTTACTCATTGCACAATCTCACATTTACTCATTACACAATCTCACATTTACTCATTGCACAATCTCACATTTACTCATTGCACAATCTCACATTTACTCATTGCACAATCTCACATTTACTCATTGCACTATCTCTCATTTACTCATTGCGCAATCTCACATTTACTCATTGCACAATCTCACATTTACTCATTGCACAATCTCACATTTACTCATTGCACAATCTCACATTTACTCATTGCACAATCTCACATTTACTCATTGCACAATCTCACATTTACTCATTGCACAATCTCACATTTACTCATTGCACAATCTCACATTTACTCATTGCACAATCTCACATTTACTCATTGCACAATCTCACATTTACTCATTGCACAATCTCACATTTACTCATTGCACAATCTCACATTTACTCATTGCACAATCTCACATTTACTCATTGCATTACTACTATTGCTCATCTTTCAAAGTTGTTCTGAAGAAAACAAAATGATAATGAGGTAAAAATGATAGTGATGTAAAAATGAATGGTTGTAAACCATGTACTGCAGAATTTCAATCCCATTTGGAAGCTGACAGCTTTGATTAAAAAATAAGTTAGTTGCATTTTCTTCTTAAAGGATTATTTATAAAATCAAGTATTACTTTTTTGAAATTTTGATTAATCTAAAAAATCCAATTTTAAAATAACTATTGTAAATAATAATATGTTTAGAAACTAGTTTTGAACAATATGTTTAGATACTTTTAAGTTTGTTGAGGATCACATTCTGTCTTTAATCTTGTGACTTGTTTGCATAATTAACTTGAATGTGGTTCGAGTCACAGTCATTTGTACTTTACAAAACTTACTACCAGTCACATTCATTTGCTTGTGTTACAAAACATGAAGTTTTTAAAAAATTAACAATCTAATAAAATCCCACTGTTTCCTAATGTTTACACATAAATTTTAAATATTGCATAATATATAATGATATATTTTTTATAATAATATTTTCTATATTAATGTTAGCAGCTTAAAGAAAAGTTACTACCTTATATATTAATAATAATTTAATAGTTTAAAGAATACTTATTGTAACACTGAAATTAACTCTAAAACTTTAAATAAGAATCATAATTAGACTCATAGATTATAATAAATTATAATAAATTATAAATAAAAAATTATAATTAGACTCTGTAACAGATATAATTTATGTCAATAATAACAATAATAGTTTATGTCAATAATTTTTTAGCCAATCGTACATACTACACAAAAGGTCAATTAAAAGATATGATTTATTGGAGTGTTCGTGTATGGAAAGGTATTTAATTTTTTTCTGTTAAATAAAAAAAGTTGCTTTTAAAAGGGTAGACTGTTTTTGTTTTGTTTTTTGTTTCTCGTGTTTTTTATTTTAACTTACTAAAAACTTTCAAATTTACAGGTGTCGAAGACTGGGTTCAAGATTCAACTCATCAATTTGAGGATCATAATAAAAATGCTATCGCTTTATTAACAGATCAGTTAGATATTGCTTACGGTTCAGATAAAACAACAACTGCAGCTGATTTTATTGAGTATTTATCACAAGTTGCAAGAAACGCTTTAAAGAAACTGGAAATCGAAAAATCATTAAACATTGAGAAGCGTAATTTGCGTCTGAAACAAGAAGATCATATTCAAAGCATTGCTATCGTATGTATTTTTACTCTAACTACAATTAAATTGAAGTTTTTACATCAGTCATTCTTATATTTATATATATATATATATATATATATATATATATATATATATATATATATATATATATATATATATATATATATATATATATATATATATACACACACATATTAATATATATACACACATATTAATATATATACACATATTAATATATATACATATAAGTATATATGTATATATATATATATATATATATATATATATATATATATATATATATATACATATATATATATATATATATATATATATATATATATATATACATATATATATATATATATATATATATATATATATATATATATATTATATATACATATGTGTATATATATATATATATTATATTATATATACATATATATATACATATATATATGTATATTATATATGCATATATATATATATATATATATATATATATATATATATATTATATTATATATACATATGTGTGTGTGTATATATATATATATATATATATATATATATATATATTATATTATATATACATATGTGTGTGTGTATATATATATATATATATATATATATATATATATATATATATATATATATATATATATTATATTATTATACATATGTGTGTGTGTATATATATATATATATATATATATATATATATATATATATATATATATATATATATATATATATATATTATATTATATATACATATGTGTGTGTATATATATATATATATATATATATATATATATACATATATATATATATATATATATATATATATATATATATATATACATATGTGTGTGTGTATATATATATATAGGGGAAACTGGGGTAAAATGGGGTACTTAAGAATGAAACCCTATAAAAGTCACAAAAATAAATAAAATGATTACAAATAAATGTTTAAATGTCAGAATACAACATAGACAACATTGTAACAAAACAGCAAGTCAAAAGAATGTAAATTAATTGATTTATTACATTTTTTTAAAAATGACATAAAAACCCCATTTTACCCGAAGCATGGGGCAAAACGGGGTAATGGATGGGGCAAAATGGGGTCAAAGGAGGAACTCAAACAAATATGATTAATCAATCACTGCTAGTACAAATATAATCAATCACTGCTAGTACATAGCTCACACAAAAAGTAAGGTTTTTTGTTTCTTTCATCAATGCCTGCACAAGATTAATGGGCCCATCTGTGGCACTCAGTACATGAGACCCAACTCTCTGTGCTGCTGGAATAAAGATCCTCACAATAGAGGCATGGTGTGTCTTCATTTGATTTTTTGACAGATTTGTTTTTTGGTTTTTCACGTTTATAAGTTCGTTATGTTCTTCTAAGCCCGTGCGTATGAAGTTCTATTGCAAAATAACCCGTTAATTGCTCTTTAGACGAGATTTCCAACATAGATGACTTAGCTCAAACTAGACTTTCTTATTTTATATTTATATTTCTATAGTATAGGCTATAATAATACTTTAACTGAACTTTAACAACAATAAAATTATATTTTAAAAATAGACTAGTATTAAGTATTAGTATTATTTATTAAAAGAACCTAGGCCTATTGAATAAAATTATAGCAGGCCTATTGAGTCTATTAGTAATTTAAAAAAATAGAATCACGTTTAAATATAAACCACATCTCATTTCTATAATTTAGATAAATAACACTACTGGGGCAAAATGGGGAAATACCCCATTTTGCCCCTTTGAGACACCCCATTTTACCCCAACATAGGAGGCATAATAAAACTGTTCGAAAAAACAAAGCAGAGCAAAGCTCATGAATATATAAGAGTCTTAATTGCTTAATATATAATATCATTCAGGAACAATAATATATTTAATTTAAAGCTTTAATTACAAAGAAGCTGCTTCTTAAAATATAATGTTAAAAAATAAGATGAAAAAGTTGACAAAATTGTATTTACCTCTCAACGACGATACTTGAAGAAAACGTGAACAAAAGTAAAAGATGGCGACGTCTCTTCTCGTGATATTTCAAATCCAATATTTTTTTCGATGCTCTGAGGCTCTGAATAGGGTGTATTTTCAAAACCCCATTTTGCCCCACTACCCCATTTTACCCCAGTTTCCCCTATATATATATATATATATATATATATATATATATATATATATATATATATATATATATATATATATATATATATATATATATATATATATATACATATATATATATATATATATATATATATATATATATATATATATATATATATATATATATATATATATATATATATAGTATATATATATATATATATATATACATATATATATATATATATATATATATATATATATATATATATATATATATATATATATATATATATATATATATATATATATATATATATATGTATATGTATATGTATATATATATATATATATATATATATGTATATATATATATATGTATATATATATATATATATATATATATATATACACACACACATATGTATATATACACACACACACACATATACACACTCACATAGGGGCTACAAAATAGAGGGAGGGGGTCTGAAACAAAATAGAGGGAGGGGGTCTGAAAAATTTGCAAATTTTTGACAAGAGGGAGGGGAGTAGATCAAGAAAAATTGATGTCAACAATGTTACTTTTGTAAATTAATTTAGTTACTTTGTTACTAGTCATGCATACTTACTTAGTTACTAGTCATGCATACTGGCCAAAAAAAAAGATATCAAAACAAGACTGGTACATACCAGGATCAGACAGCCTCCCACTGGCAATTAAAGTTACTCAGTTAGAGAGAGATCTTAGAGTTCTTATATCAAATAATCTTAAATGTAATGCTCAAATTTTAGTAGCTTCAGTGAGCGCTAACCGTTCCTTAAAGAGGCTGAAAATACTTTTTGCAGCTGTAGTTTTTCACTGTGGAAAGAAGTGTACACCACATATGTTTGTCCTCACCTAGAGTACGCTATCCAAACAAAGTCACCTTACCAAGGGGCAGACATAGAAGTGCTAGAAAAAGTTTAAAACCATGCTACAAAAACCATTCTTGAGGCTAAGCATCGCAACACTGAGCAGCGAATAGCAATGTTTGGTTTTACGACACTTGAAGAAAGAAGAATAAGAGGTGATTTAGTTCTGATGTTCAATTTCATGTGTAGATTTGATGAAATAAACTTTCATGTATTATTAAATCGTCCTTCGTCGTCAAAGTATATTATACTTGGTCAAAATCTAAGACTTGCACAGCAAAGAGTACTCATTTGCATGCCAAGAAAGAAATTCTTCACAAACCGTGTTGTGTTGCAGTGGAATACCCTGCCGCAAATAGTAATTGACTCTACATCTGTCAACATTTTCAAAATTCGACTAGATGAACATTTAAATTTGTTATCATGGAATTTTTAAACGCATATGCTTCCAGTATTCTGTTATGTTCTTAAAGTATGGTACTTGTGTCGCAGATGTGCACAAGTATCATAAGACTGTTAATATAGGGGTGCCTGATGCAGCACATCTTTGTTAATTATTTAAACGTAGCAAATATTTATGATTTTTCAAGTCTATAAATCTATTACGAGTTGTTGTAAATACTTTAAATTATTGACCACTAGAATTAACTAAACTAAACTTAAAAAAAAAAGAAAATTCTGCAGCGTTTGTAGCCTTGTATTATAGCCTTGTGTTATACTCACCCAACCTTTAGTATTTTAATGACATTTTCTATATCCTACTTTTTTTTAAACCATGTTGTGTTTTAAAAATACCTGACGCATACAAAAATAAATGAGCACATGCAAGATGTTTACTTGTAACACTATTATTTTTTCAAAGTTTGTGTTTGTTGGCCTGATGTTAAAACAAATAAAGATTTATGTAAATACATAATCTACATTATATTATTTAAATGTTACTACCAGAATCGGTAATCTTCTGCTCGCAAGCAGGTTGCCAACCCTGGTATAAACATTTGATGATAAGATTTCAATGTTGTAATGCGACTTTCCAGCTCCATGCCCAAATACTATTATAATATTGAAAACAAGATGTTAGTAGCTCTTTAAAAACTGGAAAATTTTTATAAATTATAAACTTTGGATCTTCCATCTTAAAAGATTGCTAACCCTTTGCTAATACAAATTATCAAGTGCATTATTTTGTCATGCTAGACTCAATTAGAATTAGCTTGCTTTCAATGTGCAATTGGATTAGGTCTAAAGTTAATGTAAGGAGGATTGGCACATTCACGTTTTGTGACTCTGCGCTGTACATAAATTATGATAAAAATATTGCGATAGATATCTAGGAGTAGGTTTGTTGAAGGGCATGTTAGTTACTACCGTTATCCTAAACTACCTAAATGCTAACGTTATCCATGCAAAAACAATATATATATATATATGTATTTCATAATTTTCAGATTAATTATATATATATTTTAAGTTTACAATTATTAATTGTAATATAACAACTTGAAAATATAAACTTGTTTTGTAAAAGAAGGTCTTGAAGATCTTATCAAAAATTTCAATAGCAAGAATTTCGGAAAACATTGAGGAATATTCTCTTCTATCAAAGTTTTAAAGTTTCTCTTTGTTCATTTATATTCCATAACTTTTTATTATTTACTTAATATCTACTAGCAGTTCTTCAGTAAGTTGAGAAATTTAATTTTTTTTACCTTCTATCATGCGCTGTAAGAAGTTTAAACCAAGAATGTTGCATGCAGTAATCACTTTTACTCCTATTAACTTTTGGTTCAGAGCAAGTCTTTGTAATTTTAAATGGCTATATATATTTAAAAAATGTTTATAAGTTAAAAGTTGTACTAAGTTTTTTTTTCTAAACATTTTACTTTTAAACAATTTTTCTTGAAGTTGTAAACTACTACTATTACTATTATTTGAAAATATTTAATTTTTTTTTCATAATTTTTTAATTTTACATAAAAAAACATGTAGGAGGATGTGGGGTTGGGTAAATTAATTGTTGAGATAATTTTATAGGGGGTCTCTGAAAGTTTGACAAGTTGTTGACAAAGGGGAGGGAGGGAGGTTAAAATTGCTAAAAAAATTGTTAACGTAATTATTACATACTAATATATATGTGTATGTATATATATTTATATATATGTATATTATGTATACATATTTGTGTATATATAGAGAGAAAGAAAAAGAGAAAAAAGAGATAATGCATAAATGTTATAACTATTTAAGAACAAAATGATAACATAAATTAGTAGAAAGTGGTGTCTTGCAAAATTGTAATAAGTACTTTCGATTTATGTTTTATTTACGTTTTTTTTTTTTAGTCTTTGTGACAAAAAAAATGTTCTTATGCTCGAATAAAAAATGGTTGTTAAAATATCCTGATAATTGAAACCTGTAAACAAACAAAAAAGAGTGTGAGGGCAATGAGTTGATTAAAAAAGGTTACTACCCTCATCTAAAAAAAATTAAAATTTAAAAAAAAATATATACAATTCGCTGTAAACTCGATTTTATTTTTAATTTTTTTCACACATGTAAACACTCATTTTTTGTAAATTTTAAGTAAACATTTATTTGTGTATCTTTCCGTTTTTATTTAGTATTTAAGGCATACTCTTGCGTGCTTAATACAAAGTGTGTGTGCGTGTGCGCGTGTGTGTGTGCGTGTATGTGTGTGTGGGATGATTAAAGGGGTGAGAATTTTACTCCAGATCTAATTAGGGGGGGGGGGGGGGAGAGTAGTGGTCCTTTTTTGGAAAATTTTTTCTTCAATCCAAGTTCAATTTATCGTCAGCCTCTAATTAAAACCTCGTAAACCTCCGTGTTTTAAGTGACATTTTTTGTTTACATTTTAAAATAATTTTAAGATCAAAAAAAAAATTTTTTTTTATCTCAAAGTTATATTTTTATTAGATATAAAATATCCTTTTATATCTAATAAAAGAAAAATTTTATGAAATTATGCAAAAAATATTCTTACTTGTGTATGTAAAACCAATTTTATTTATTATAATTATTTCGTATTATTTCAACAATAAGACGTTTGTTTACGATGTCAAAATTTATTGAGTGGCATTTCTGTGGCATAGTGATGCGTTTTGAACGCGTAAAACATCATTTTAAACAAATTGCATGTGCGTAAATATGTTATAACAGGTTACACAATTATGCTTGTTCTAAACTATGGCTTTAACAAACACTAATCATCTTCATCCATTTTTTTTTTGGTTACTTTTCTTTGTAATAAAGATATCTTTTTTTTTTCAGACTCTCTCTGCTTTCCTTCGTAATAAAGATATATCTTTGGATGAAGCTTCAACAAGATTACCATCACTTAAATCTGAAATACGTGAGCTTCTATTGAAAGTACCGCAATGTGATACTCCACCCTAAAGTTGTTGAAACCTTGTTGCGGATAGCCAATACAATGTGATTTATTCACTGCAATCCACAACAATGGCCTAAATGTTTGTTTTTTTACAACTTTAAAAAAAGACATGGTTATGGTTATGGATTGTTACAACTCGTTTCTATACAATGATCTAAGTTAGAAAAATTTGTACAAAAAAAGTTGTACAAAAAAAAATGGCAGGTGCCACAAAGCTTTGAAATTTAACAGATATAACAGTTTTGTATTTTTTTGTTTTATATGTTGTTTAATTATAAATTTTTTAATTCAGGTGTAAATTTTACATTACCTTGTGTACAGCTTCAATTGTCAAGATAAATTTGTATTTTTAAAATTAAGAAAAATATATTTATTTTTGATACACTTATGCTTATCATTTAAAATGGATATATGTATCATTTAAAATGGATATATATATATATATATATATATATATATATATATATATATATATATATATATATATATATATATATATATATATATATATATATATATATAAAGAGAGAGAGAGAGAGAGAGAGAGAGTTAAACATATAAACACTGCATATGAAATATTTATTTCTTTTATTGTTACTATTAAGTAATTTAAATAAAGGTACACTAAATTTAAGTTTAATATTTTTTATTTGATTTTAAACAGGAAATGTCAATTAAAAGTGTCATGTTTTTGTTTGTGGATGTGTTTTTTATAGGAAATTAAATTTTTTTAATTTTTGAGTTCCAAAAAAACAAAAAGTTGAAAGAAAGGTACTATAATTGTATTATGTGCACGTTGGTTGGTGTATGTGGTTTTCATATTGCAAGATATTTTAAATAGTATATCAAGACTTTTTCCTAAAATCTTACCTAAGTACTTTTCCGATCAAGAAGTTAACGATACAAATAAAAATATATCTATAATAAAAACCGTTATCAATATATTTATAATAAAAACAGTTTTATTATAGATATATTGATAACGGTTTTGGCTGGTCAACAGAAAACTTCTGTTGGTCAGCCTCGCCCCCTTTTTTATTTGAAAGGTTAATTAAATTCCATTACACGTGTACCTCAAGTAAATTCCATTACACGTGTACCTCAAATTCCATTACACGTGTACCTCAAATTCCATTACATGTGTACCTCAAGGCACTACATATATAGGTGTACCTCACGGACCATATTTTTTCCCTGTTTACATTAAAGATCATTTATCACTTAAAACTACAATTTTCTACCATTAAGCTGAGTCAACAATGAACAAGCTTTTTCAGGGCCAAAAATAAGAAATTACTAATAAAATTGCATTTTCGGTTAGTAAGTTTTTTTTTTTGAACTAGTTAAAACTTTATAGTCTCAATAGTAACATACCAGCTTTATTTTAAATATAATAAATAGGTGCCATAAAAAGCTAATAAAAATTTGCGCACATTTCCTCTCACTCATTTTGCCCAACTAAGTTAACTTGTTTAGCACACTATTCTTTTATTCATTTTCCATATTTATAAGTTTAAGCTTATTTCAGTTAATTATTGATATTGTTTTTAATAGTCTAAAATACAAATTTTATTTACTAAAAATTTTAGTAAAGAAGAAGAAAATTTAAATTGAAGAAGAAAATTTCAATTCAATCGAAGAAAAATTCAATTCAATTGAAGAAGAAAATTCCAATTTAAAAATATGATTAAATTTTTTTTTAAGTCTTTAAATCTGCATTTTAGTCTGCATTTTAGTAAAATACAGATTTGTATTTTACTAAAATGCATCTGTATTTTAGTAAAATACAGATTTAAAATTTAGACTAAAATACAGATTTAAAGACTTAAAATTTTTTTTTCATATTTTAAATTAAAATTTTCTTCAAATCATCTAAAAAATAAAAAACTACTTATGTGTTTTGGAAAACAGCTTATTTATGTCAGTTACCCAGGAGCGATGTCTTTATACATAAAAGTAGGATTTGATGGTTAAAATAGCCAATTATACTATTAAAAAACAGAAGGAGAGATAAGTATCAGTTGTGTAGAGGAAAAACCATTGTTTCTACCTTACATTGTCAAAATTAAAATTTGTATTAAAAAATCTGGTTAACCAGTTACACACAACAAATTAAACCAAGCCGAAAAAAACCAGACCAGAGAAGGTATTTTAGATAAAGAAAAAATCATTTCAAAAAGACAACACCCTCCAGGGGTTAAGTTTTGTGTCGGGATCTGATCTTACGAATCTAAGGTTTTTATTCCAGAGTGGGTAAAAATCAACTCAGAAGTTTATATTGCATTTGTTAGTGAGTATTTGCTTTTCTGGTCAAAGAAAAAGTTCAAGCAAAAGCATCGCTTTAAACAGGGTTCTGCTTCAGCTCATAAAGCCAAGAAAACTGTTAAGTTTCTTCAAGTTAAAATTCCTTGTGTTTGGACACGAGATATGTGACCACCCACGTCACCTGACCTTAATCCAATTGATTTTTGCATTTTGTCAGTGATAGAGGATATAATGTCAAGGAAAATATAAAGAAATGTGGAGGTCCTAGATAAAGAATTGACCTAGATATGGACTAAACTTGACAAAAAATGTTGCGACGAACTTGTGAGCAAGTACCTAAATTTTTCACATATTTCAATATTTTTGGATGTTTTGCGCACCACTATAAGTTCGTCTTTATGTAACTCCAAGAATGTAGTGCTTGTAAGCTCACCCAACAAATGCTACATACTATTAGTACTACAGTTACTGCTTTAAATCATTAACACCCAACACGCCTTTTTTTATTCTAGGATGCCTGCATCTGCAAAAAAAAGGTTAAACAATCATTAAAAATAATAGTTATGATTTTTTGTCCTTTTAATGCTGATCTCAAACCACTGTACTTAATTAAAATTGTTGTTTTTCATGGTCTATCACCTTAAAGCAGCGACTCCTAACCTTTCCGATGCCACAACCACTTGATGTTATTAGCTAAGTTGAGGCAACATTAACAAAAAAAAATTGATAAGGTTTTTTTTTTTCCAATCACTAACTTTTTTGAGCCAACTATTTTTGACTTTTAAGTATCTGTTTTTTTTTTTAATATTTTATAGGTACCATATTTTTTTGTTAAAAATTTTTTTTTATGATATATTTATAAAAATTTATCAAAAAAACATGACGTTAACATAGTTTGGTTAGTATTTTGCAAAAGAATAAATTGTTTACATTGTAAACAGTTTATAAAGCCTTAACTTTAAGGTTCAAAGGTTTAATTAAAATTATTTTCAAGTAAATTTAATTTTAAATAAAGTTTCAATATTAAGGTTTACATTGCAAACAGTTTGTAAACTTTAGGGTTTTTTCAAAACGAAACTCTCATAACGACGTCTATCAAATTGCAAGGCAACCTCCGTTGGGGTTGCCACTCGCAGTTTGGGAACCTCTACCTTCAATTAAAAAATTTTAGTTTTGTTAAAGTATATTTTTGCATATTCAAAAGCATGAATTTTCATGAACAACTTTAAATTATCAAAAATATTGAATTAGTTAAAAAGATTTTTTAAAGATCAAGAAAAGAGTGAATGAAGAAAGGTGCTAAGCCGTAATATTAAACATTTTGAGTTGATAATTCCCGAATTTTAAAATCGAATACTGAAATCAATCTTTTATTAAAGTATTAAATTTTGGAATAGAATTTTGGTCCAAATATTAGATATATAAGATATCAATTCTGCTGTTTTCCTTCGTCGATTTCTCAAAATTTAATCGGATTCAGCACCGTTTAAAAAAATCACTGCTTAAGTAGAACTTCATACAAATGCTTTACTGTCGGACTCATAACGAAGTTTTACTATTTTATACTGATTATTTCCAGTGTGAATTAGGGTGCTGAAAGCAAGCAGACAACAGGTATCGCAATTCAGTTTGCATTATCCTGAAAGACTTTTTTTTATTTTTTATTTTTATTAGTTTATTTCGCCGATAAAAATATTCACAATGTACAACAATATAAAAAGTAGAATTGACTGGAACAAGAAGAAGGCATAAGTTAGCCTGATCACCAAGCCCGCGCAAATAAATATCCGTAATATATAATTATCCGTAATATATAAGCAACAGCATTTAAAAAAAGAAAATTTTAAGATGTTAAGAAATAAAAAAAAATTAAAAAAAAAAAAAAAAATAAAAATATAAAAGAAATGATTAAAATATAGTAATAAAAATGACAAAAAATTTCTGTTTTTCTTTTCATAAACTGAACGTAGTTCGATATATCTTTTTTTATATATATTTTATATATTCGATATATATTTTGTATATATATATTTATTTTTCAAAATAAATATATGTAGGTAACTTCAAGAGTAAATTTTTTTTCAATGAAAGTATGATAAAGACATTCTTAATATTGACTTTGCTCTTTTGTTAAATGGTCTAGATTTGTAAATTTATGGTGCTTATTTAGTTTAATAACTTTTAAAAGTGACAGAGATAATCTGCTATAAAATCCATAAGTACTAAATAACGTCTTAATTTAGATTTGAATTGCGAAAATGTTTTTTCTTTATTATTAACAATATGCTGAAAGTTTTTCCACAAAATTGGTCCCCGGTACTGAATAGAATAAGAACATAACTTAAGATTATATTTTTGAGTTACAAAGTTATTTTTTGAGGAGTTAGTGGGGTATTTATGGCTTACTTCTTTAAAATAAGGATAGAATATTGTTGGAGACACTCCATGCTTTATTTGATACATGAACTGTATGACGAGGAATGGTGCAGCCGTGGCGCAGTGGTAGCGCACTTGCCTCAGAAACGTAAGACCCGTGGTTCAAACCCCACCTCTGGGAAAGTTTTGCGACATCGGTTTGAAAGGAGGCGCGAACTTCCTAATAAATGCTCTTCCGCGGTGCTCTGTGATAAGACCGTAAGGACTTCTTGGGGCACCTTAATTAACTTAAAAAAAAAAAGGAATATGTTGATTTTAAACACATTTAATGCATTGAGTTTACGTAGAAGTGGCTCACAAGACACAGTTCTTTTTGCTCCAAATACTATTCTACATGCATGTTTTTGTTTAGTATAAATTTTCTTTATCATAGCGTAGGTGGTGTTTTATTTCGATCTATAATTGTTTGTGAACGCACGCTTTTTTTTTGCTGCTCAAAATAAAATAAAAAAAAGTTTTTTAAATTTATCTTAATAAAATTACTTCTTATTTTTAATATTAAATATAAATATATAGTATCAAAAACCGATTACGAAGGAATAATTTTAGAATTGAAGGTGTAAACAAGTTGCCCGGTGAAACTTGTGAAAGATTAGTCAAAGAAATTTTCTCAAAAAAACTAAAATTTACCAGCGAAATAACTATTGAACGTGCTCATAGATCAGGCCCAAAAAAAGTAGGAA